TTTTGCAACTTCTTCATCTGCGAATGCTGCCGTACAGGGTATTTTCAATGCCAAAGTGAAGTTGTGTGAGTCTTTAAATTTTCCAGCTGTTCCCTCTTTTAGTTTAAATTTAAGCTTCTATAGCTTTGACAGCTATTTTTCCAATATATCTACATATATCATGCCAAACATGCAGACATCCAGACTATAACTCCCTTAGGCACAACTCACACGTAAAAGCCTTACAGGGTATTTCAACGCTGGCACTCCAACGAAAGTGATTTTTCATGTTTTTCATAGCAGTTGCTTTTCATCTTGGCTGATGCCGAAGTGTTGGGAACGCTTTATTTAAATGGATTCAGCTTGGATGGTTTGTGGCGAGAACAAGTAGAAGAACAAGTTGAGGGGTTTAATGCAAACTAAATGCAAATTAATATATATTTAAAAACCTATTGCTGCCAGCACTGTTTGAGCAGCGACGACAACGAGCGCCTGCTAACAGAGTTGGATTGAGCCTTAAAGGCAGACAGGTAAATTTTAATTTAGAACTTTTTTTATACTTATAGATGTGGTGTCTAACCTGAGAGTGTTAATCGACAGCTGGGCCTCCATCTCAGGTTTTCACAAGTGTAAAAATAGCTTAGTTTATGGTAAAGCTTAGAAATACATCCAAATCAGACAAGACAATAAATAAAATCAAATAATTAATATTTCATTAAAGTCGATGTATACAAATTTATCACCTTTAAAGAGGTCAGAGTATATAAATATTGACACTTCAATAGAAATCATTTGTTTATTTTAACGTAAAATTTCACGTTCAAAATTTTTTATTAATCTGGCTATAAATACAGCTTTCCAACAATATTTCGATTTCGTTTTCCATGTTAATGAACTTATGTGTATAATCATAATTTGCCCAGCAATATTTCTGACTAACTGGGTGAAAATGTCTTGAAAGCATTTCATATTTGGCAATTTATTATTTATTATTAATTCTGCCAATATGCCAAAATCTATTTTCTACGAATTTTCAACATTTGCTCAGCTATATTTAGCATGACATCTGGAATCAGGTAATCTAGTATAGCAAGCGGCAGGTATCGGGGGGCTGATCCGCTGTTAATGTGTTGATCTTTCGTATATGGCGCACGCCGACCCAGTTACGAGCGATCCATATAATTAGAGACATCAGCAATTCATCAACTGTGGGAGAAACTGCGCAGCAGAATCTAGCTGAACTTTGATATACGTACAAGGATGCAGAGAGGAAGGGAGACAGGCAGGAGCTCAACTACACTGAGCTAGAACATAAATACTTGCTTTTTATGGCCTATCATGGGGGCGTGGCTAACATTTTATGCACATTTTTATTGCTGGCAATTGAAGTGAGCTGCCGTCTCGTTCTCTATAGCTTTGGCTTGTAGTATTATGGCCATGTCACTTTCATTTAAATTGTTGTTCTCGCTGCTATAAAATGTTCAAATCTAGGTCCATATCTACGCATTCTTCGTCCTTGGCGATACGAATAATTTGCGCGTGAAAATTGCAATTTATTTTTCAATATAATTTCACTGCTCTCCCACTCTCCCACTCTTCCACTCTCTTTTTATCTCACTCTCTCATTATCTCTCTACACTTTTGTTGTCGCTTTGTGCATGCATTTTGACCATAAATTTGTAGAGGCGGCCATTAAATGTTGGCCCACACGCTCTGCGGCAAGTGCAAGTGCAAAATCTTCAAGTGCCAGACACACAGACACACAGACAGGCCAGACAGCAGACAGGCCGTAAAATGCAATGTGAATTGAAAATGAAATCCGTGACGTCAATTTGTTAACAATATTCGCTTGTGGCCTGATCTGCTGGGGGCCAAAGGGCAGCGGCGGACTGACTACAGATTGCGCATTGTTTCTAGGCTTTAATTTTAGATTATTTGCCAAACTAAAAATAATTAATTGCACACTGACTGTGTCGAGGCTATTTGGCAACTAGCTGCCAATCGACGCAAAAGTTGGTCAGATCGAAAAAAAAAAAATATATATATATATATATTTATACATGTTTCGTAAAGAATGAAATGCACACGAGCTGCAAGATTCAGATACGAGGCGTGTGTGTCTTTAATCCTAAGTAATATGCCCTAGGGTGTAGTTATAATGTTTTATTGCGTTATTACTTTGTCTTTTTAACAAATATTTATGTTTCCTTTCTCTTTGTAGTTCGTGGGCTGGGAGGAGGTGCCGCGCCCCAATACGAGAGCCGAAATTGTGCAGGCCATGCGTCGCATACGGGTGAGTCAACACATACAGCACACACACACCCATCCACACACACACACTCGCACAGACATATATACACAGAAATTGAAGCCTAAGACCGAGTAACCAAATTTCAAGCGCCCGCATGCACAAGTTTTGCCAATCAAAGAAACTTTCGGCGCCCTTTAAGTTCCCTTGCTTTATGCGTGCAGCCTAAAAGCAGGCAACACGTTTTCCCAAGGCTCGGCGCCACTGTCGCTGTCAATGTCATGTGCTTTGATTACAGCTACAAGCCGCAGTCGCTACAGCCGGCAAAAGCTAACGGCATAAAAAGCAAACGTGCCTTGGCCAATGTAGCGTTCTTGTTTATCTGCTACGCCCTCACATGCCAAGCGCACCAGCCTCCTGCTGCCCCGCTGCCCTTAGTTAGCTCGTGCGTGAGTTGGCTTAAATGTGCCGAGCTGAGGATGTGGGTGATGTGTGTGCGTACATTAGCGTTGTCTGACTTCAATTTAGAAAGCGCTTGATATGACGCCTGTTATTGTCATGTCTTGCCATTAGCTGCCTGCGTCGAAGCCAGTCAAATGTTAATTGAAAAATTTGGGAATCAGCTAAAGCCAACCTTAGACAGAATCCACACAGCTGTTATGCAAACACTTGACATTTATATTGTTATAATATCATTCTCTCTCTCTCTCTCTTTCCCTCTCATTTTGTAGTACGAGTGCAAAGTGCAAAATCTGAAGAAACGTAAGGTTACAATACAAATATCAGTTAACGGCGTTCGGGTTGTGGTCAAGAAACGCCGTCGAAAAGTAAGTGAAAAGCCTCAACTCAACAATGCTCATCAATCATTTAAATGTCAAACTGTCCTTTGATGTGTGCGTTTGTTTGTGTAGAAAAAGAATTGGACCAATGACCCCGAGGAAATCGAGTTGCTCAATCATCCCATCTACAGAATATTTTATGTGTCCCACGACAGCAGCGATCTCAAAATATTCAGCTATATAGCACGCGATGCCAGCACGGATACGTTCAAGTGTTCCGTATTCAAAAGTCACAAAAAGGTAACTTTATTATTATTATTATTATTTGCTCAATAAATATTATTTTCGTATAGAATATAGAAATTTCGAATTACTTTATCCATAAACTGCAAAAGTTTTTGTCTCTGGCAAAACATGAAAATTTGTAAATTTAATAGTCGCAATGTGACTTACTCTGGTCCACGTCTCCTACACCTCCTACACCTGCTTCGCCTGCTACACCTCCTACACCTCCTACACCTCGTGCGCCCCTGCCCAGTCGCCTGGACCGCTGTCTGTTTGCTCAGTGTGTTTTCTAATTTTAAACACATTTGTACATGACATTTCGACTGTCCTGTTTTCGCAAAATGTGTTCTCATATGCACAATTTTGGCTGGCATCCAGCGACGTCGCATTGCGAGTGAACCTGAAACGCAAACAAGCGGCAAATAAACAAATACATAAGTGCGATTGCCCCAGCAGCATGGCTGGCGGTCTTTAGATGTGCTCTTTGCGGTTGGCTGTGGCTATGGATATGGGCATCGCGAATTCCTTCTAATCAGATCAAAGTGAGCTGCAAAACTTTTGCGGCGCACATCTATAAAAGTTATTGGCCATAAATGCGAATCGGATCGGGCTTAAGCATAATCGAGCCAGACGCACTGCAGTCATTAGCATTCATCAGTGTCCAAGCATTTTACGACATTGCCAAAGATATATGGCATCAGCTGAGACGCAACTATTCATCAGGCTGACCGCCAGGCGTGGCGCTAGATTTCCGCATCTGACGGGTGGAGAGAGAAATCGTGCACAGCATTGTGGCCATTTCACTGACAAGTTTTGACCGCGATTTGCCAAATAAATAGATAGATTTTACTTTGTAGTCGCCGCCATGCAATGCCTTCACTTTGATTTCGACTGCGGTCGGCGATGCAATCAGTGTACAGATTTTATGATATCTGCGGTTCGGTGCGGCCTTCAACCTTGCTCTGCAGACAATGTCAAGTTTGTGTCGGCCCTCGGCTGGCATTTCTAATTTCGACACAGTTTTCCAATTAACAAAGTTAAAAAAAAAAAAACAGCAACGAGTCAGAGGACTTCAGACAACAGCATGACAATGGCTGTCGAAATGTGTGACAAGTGACATATTAAATTCAGGTCGGGACGGGCCCGGAGGCAGGCCAGGGGTCGGCTCACACGTCGTATGCGGTGCGGTACGGCACGAGCTAAGCATTACGCATACGCTGCGTGCGTCAGGCGAGCCATTTAATGAACGACAATAAACAAGACAGGAATAGCACAAGCTGCAGCGCAATTGCACTTTGTATTATGGACCTGGTTCGTCAAAATAAACATCAGATAAAGTGATGAAAACGCTTGATTTATGGCTAAGCAGCCGTTAGCCGCGAAAAATTATAAATGCCGGCACACAGCAAATTGCAAACAGCACTCACAGAACAAAAAATGTGAAAAGTTGCCATTGTTTACTTCCGCGAAACACAAAGCAGTGACGTCACAGCGCCACAAGTTGCAAGCGATAATGCGAAAACGCGCATACGCCATGTCAGCCCGCCAACCAGCAGGTCGCCGCCAAAGACCAAAACAAACGCAGCATGTTGCTGCCCAAAAACAAACGGCCGTGTTAACAGCTGAGTCGGCACTCAGCGAAAGCTTTTTGCCAAAAAAAAAAAAAAAAAAAAAAAAAAAAAAACAAAAAAAACTAAAAAAACAAAAAAAAAAAAAAAAAAAGAAAGAAAAGGAAAACTGAAAAGAAAAAGCTCTGCTGTGCCGGCTACAGATCGGCGTAGATCTCATTGCGGTCTGCCGCTCAGTTCGCGGATGCTTTGTCCAGTTCCCACTCGACGGTGCGCCGCTGCAGACGTGCGTTGTATGCCACAAAAGCAAACAGAACAAATTCGATACTGTATAATTATGCAATATGCAAGAGTGTGTGCGCGTGTATGTGTGTGTGTGTGCGTGATTGAAAAGTGCAGTGAAGTGTAAAACGAAAAATAACTATAAACATTTATTGGTAAAGCAATAAAAACAAAATTCATAATAATAAAAAAAATGAAAATTTAATTTTCTGCCAGCTGGGAAATATTTATTCGTTATTTATATATATGCGAAAATGTCGCAAGAATTAATTAAATAAATTCAGGCAATGGCATGTCAGAAGCGTTAAGCACAAATATTTTGCCAGACCATAGATCAAACCGGGCAACAACTAAAAGCAAAATCGGCGATAAAAATTTGGGAAAATTCAACAAGCGACAAAAGTGTTTGTCATGGGCTGATGCTGACGCCATCAAGTAGCTGCAAAGCAGCCGGGCCAATCAGTTAAGCAACATCACACAGCAACGACGACAACAAAAACCGAAAGAAGAAAATCAAATGAAAATTGTCAAACAAAAACTGGAAAATTAATTGCAAAAAATACATAAAACGTGCCGCCTTTTATATATAATATATATATAAATATCTATATATATATATATATATATATGTAATATACAGATCGATGTTGACCTTAGGACTGTTGGCAATCCAAAAGAATAGAATCGTGTATAGTGCGTGCTAAAAGTACCTGCACACAAATCCCAAAAGGCTCGCCCACTGACGCACTTAGCAGCTTGTTTATGTTTACGAGATCTTGGCTAGTGCCATAAAAATGCCGCAATACTCTCATACTCATTATTAATAACGTTTTTCATTTTCATTTTAATTACCATTTCCATTTCCATTCCCTATTCCAATATTCATCCATCTGCAACTGCCCACGCGGAGGCAGTTAATGAGCCGCTCTCGCCACAGGTAGCCGAGGGAGCATAAATAAATAACATGATGGTCAATCAGGCGCACACACACGTGACAGCCAGAAATATTTATGATACGCTTTTATTTATAATTCGTAGCTGCTTAGGAGAGCCAAGAAACAAAACAAAAGTTGGCAAAGAAAAGGGGAAAACCAATATATAAATCGATGGAAGAATATATTATATATTCTAGAGCAAAGAGTTGCCCAAAAGGGGCCAGCATAATAAGCAGATACACTTATTTATTATTGTAAATTAAATATACTTTGCAAACCATACACTTGCATTACTCACACACACACACATCTATATAGATAGCAAATTTACTTTTGCATTTGTAATTTGTTGCTCTTGGCGCAAAATGGCGGCCGCAATCGTTGAAATTTTCAATTATTCCGTTGATTTTTGCTCGCATTTGCCATTCCTTTCCTATATGTTCTTTTATTTTCTGGCGAGATCTCTCTTATTAGTCTTGCTGCCTTTAAACCCGAAATAGATCCATTATTTTAATAGCCTGCTCTAAAGTATTTCGTAAATCGAACAAAAGCGCAAATAGGGGGCGGCTACTTGAAGCTATATTATAAATATATAAACGTGTATATTTCTGAAGCTGTTTTTCTTTGTGCCCAGAGAACGAGAGAGAGAGAGATAGATAGAGCGGGGGTAAGGGAAAATTAAAATTTAAGTGCCATGACTAATGAAAAGTTAATTAGTAACAGTAGCAAAAGCAAAATCACGAAACACTGTACAACAGAAACCTGTAACGGCAACTGCAACGGCAACAGCTGCGGCTGCTACCCTGCAGTCACTGCCCTGCCACAGTCAGTGCCACTGCCACTGCCACAACTTATGGCCACAGTGCACATGCTGCAACTGCAGCAATAAAAATCTTGGCAAAAAAAAAAAAAAAAGAAGAGAGAAACCAGCGCCGCATTAAGCAAAGCCAAAGAGCTCCAAAGGGCATGCGACAGAGATTTACTGTTAAAATTTTCCCTTATGACAGACAAACAAACACAGAAGGAATAAGAAAACAAATAAGCGCCGAGTTTGTTGCCTTTGCAACAGAAGTGAAATGGAAATTCTAAATCAAATAAATACATTAAAAATGAACAAAAAAAAAAAAAAAAAAAATCGCTGCTTGCGCCATAAATCTTAAAGTAGTTTTTCACGAAGCCAAATCGACTGCGAAATTTCTATTTATTTAAGTTTTCATTGTTGGCGCCGTTGTAACAAAAACCCGAAATTATAAAGAGAACAAAGAAAATAAAAGCCAAACGAATAAAGCAATTCTGAATTTCGAATTCACCTGTGCTCTATTTTGATTTATTTTTTTTATAGTTTTTGTTGATTTGATTTAGTATTTAGATGTTTGCTGCGTCAGCACAATGCGCACGGATTGACTTGTGTGTGTGTGTGTGTGCAGTCAGGCGAATGGACAGACAGTTAAATAGATAGACAAGCGGCCAGAGAGACAAACGAACGTACAAACAGGCAATCCATCGACACCTTTGCCACTTTGTTAGACAAATTTGCCGGCATACGCAGCGTATGCGCAATGTTTGCGCTCAGCGCGCGTGCTAAGGGCGAATAGAGTGATATGATTTCAACAGTTGGTTTACTTTATAATTAACTTGCCAGCTATATTTATAGCCGAGCACACACTCTGCAGCGCGGTGACTTAAGTGCCGCGGCATTTTGTAATTTGCTTTGAGTACTGCGCATTGGCGAAACTAATTCTGTTCGCGCCTGTCAGCATAATTCAATTTGATGTCTCCTGTTAATGTCTCGTTAAAGTTGTTACTATTTGCTGGGATTGTTGTTGTTGCTGTTGTTGTCGTTGTCGTTGCCCTGCAAAGTGCTCAATTTGTGGTCAGCAAATGCTCGAAATGACGGACATGCCAAATGAGTCGCCTCTTGGCAACAGCAGGCATAGTTCGCCACATATTCAAGCGAAAATTCCCATTAAATGATTGATGGCAAAATCAAAGTGGTTAGCTGCGAAATACACACAGTTCAATTAAACCGACTCTGAAGAAAGTTAAGGCGGAATTTAGCCAGAAGAACAACTCTTTCGATGCGTAATCGAGCGTATTTTTAGCTTCAGAGACCTTCGAGCTGTTGTCTCCGTGCCAGTCAAAATGCAGCCAAACACATTAGCTGGCGGCGATAGGCGATTCGTCGAAATGGGAATTCACTTTGGGTCTCAGCGCGCTGACAATGATTAACCCAAACAAAATCCAAACAGATTGACAGTCAGGAATCGAGCCTCATGCTGGCAGAAAAACAAATACAAATGCAAATGTAAATGCAATTGCAATTGCAATTGCATATGTGTATACATGAATGCAAATAAATACATATACTTATATACACTGTGCGAAACGAGCAACCACTGAAATATGCATAGAAAATAAATAACTACAATTTATTCAACTACAAATATAGGCAACAATCGTCGAAAATAATTCAATATAAATACTATATAACGCATACGCGCCGTATGCCAAATACTATATGATATATCTTGTGCAAAGCACCTCAAAATCGAAGGGCGAACAAAACAAAAATAACAAACAAAAACAAAACATTCGCACTAAAGGTGCGAAAAATGGCAATGTGTGTGAATAACCTGAACCAAGGAGCCAACCCAGTCTGCAGACAGCCAAACAATTATGAAATTAATAGCCTCTTAATTGGCGCCGATAATAAGTATTATTGAAAACAAATATTGAACAGCATTGAACTTAGCAGTGCGAAAAGTGCGCGAGTGCGAGAAAAGTCCGACGAAAAGTCGTGTGAAAAGTCCAGCGAAAGTGTCGACAAGCCAAGTTGGCCAAGTTGTAGTTTTCCTTTATTGTGGGCCAACTAAAAGACCTTGCTGCTCTTCGGTAAACTTTGGCGGATCAGTGAACGCATGCACGGCTGGCCATGAAGCACGAGAAGAGCTCTGCCATGGCCGCCAATGGTACGCCCCCGCTGAAGCGCGACAAGCAGCGACAGCAGCAGCTGGTGGAGTCGGCCAATCCGCGCAGTCCCATCACCAAGGCCTTTGACTTCCTGCCCTGGTCACGCAGCCGTAGCCGCAAGCCGGAACCGGAGCCGAGCACAGCAGCTGGCGAGAAGCCCGCCGAGGTGCACTACCATCACAACATCTTTCGCAGCGGCGGCGGCCTTATACGCGACATGCTCGTGGGCGACAAGGACAAGCTGCAGAAGGATAAGCCGCCGCAATCCCCCCTCTCGGAGGCCAAGCGGACGCAGCGCAAACAGAAGCAGCTGTCCCGCAACAAGAGCCTGGACATCCGAGAGCTAATTGGCTGCGTGGACAGCGAGCTGGTGCCGCGCACAAATGCGCTGAGCTCGCCCCAGCCACAGCGTTTCCTTGACGACACCTACATAGACAGCAAGCCACGGCACATACTCTTCAACGACGACGAAAACACTGTGTATCTCATCAAGAAGGAGCAGCCGGTGGCCAAGGCGCACAAGCCGACGCCCGCGCACGCTGCCCGGGACTGCAATGGCGGCGATGTGCTGAAGGCGCGGCTGAAGTTCAAGCGGTTGCCCAGCGACCATTATGCGGCCTCTCCGGAGGCGCTGCGTCGCGCCCAGCAGCTCTACCAGCGCTCCGAGCAGCGTCACCAGCTGCAGCGTCGCAAAAGTCTCAGCGACTCGCATTACGAGCAGAGCAGCTCCAGCCTGAGCAGCGGCGGCAGTGGCGTTCAAGCTGCGGCCGCGGCCACTGCGAGCAGCATTATGCTGGAGCGACCCAAGACGGATAAGCCGCGCAAGAAGCTCTCGTTTCGCGAGCCCATCGAGGCGGGCCTCTCGCCCGTGGTCATGGCCATGTCAGCGGCCATGGTGAGTGAGCAGCGGCTGGAGCGACAGCGGCGTCGCAGCTCGCCGCTCGAGCGCACCAACGCGCCGCAAATGGGTCACGGCCTGGACTGTGATAGTGTGTGCAATAATCGAATAAAGGATGCTATTCACAGCGGCTGTGCTGCCAGTGATCCGGAGGTGGGTACGCCGCGTCACGGGGCGTATGCGTAATTTGCTTTGTCTTGCCGCAGCTGTCGCTGTCAGCCTGACCAGTGCCTTAACTGCCAGCTGTGCAGCTTAATATTAATTGCTGCCGCTAACCCTCTTAGCCAGCACATGTGCACAAATACATATGCATATATTGTAGTCCAGTTACGCTCACTGATTGCTGTCTCCGTATCTCCCTTTGTCTTTTGCAGTCTCAGGCCATGCGCATTGTGCGCACCGTCGGACAAGCCTTTGAAGTGTGCCACAAATTTAATCTTCATAAGAATTCCCTGGAGCCCAATGACGAACGCTCCGATGTCTCATCGTCGGAGCTGCTGGATGTGGAGCAAATCAGCGAGCAGCAGCTCAGCGAAGATGGAGGCGTTCTAACCAGCGAGACGCCAAAGAAAGGTAAATGTTAATCGTATATGAATGCCCCTCTCTCTCTCTCTCTCTTATTGTGTGTGTGTGTGTGTGTGAGTGCATGGCACATGCAATTTTCTCAACAGATAAACCGTCTGATGAACCCCTTCCCTTCACACTGGGTCGTTGTACGCTGTACAGACTGTGGGCCAATAAATAAATGAAAAGCTGGCGCTGTCGACGCCATCGGCTGCTTCCTGGGGCGCATCGTCGTCGACTGCAATGCGATGCTCTCGACACGATGCCGGCCACTTGTGGGCGGCCCTGGGCCACAGACCGAGAACACCCTGGACAGCAGCTGATTGCATTAGTTTTGCAATTCAGTTTGGCATTTCAATGCAAATTTCTGGTGCTCTTTAATTTTGAATTCCGTTCAATGCGAATCGCAAATTTGCATTTAAATTGCATTCCGCCAGCGACTGGCTAAAAGTAGAGGGACAAACGATTTTCCGGCACCAAAATTTGTTTGTTGACATACAAATATGGCATATTTCCGAATTGAACAGAAATTATTGAGCAATTAAAAGCAAACGTTAATGGGCCCATAAAACAATTTAATATTTTTCATTAGCGAAGCAGAAGACCCAGCAGTAATATATGTAAATACATATATACACAAATATATATGTACATAATGAATATTTATTGATAAATTGAGCCAACGGCTGGCTGACACTCTGCTGAGCGTTAGGTAATTTCCACGTATTTCTTACATTTTCAATCAACTCGGAGCGGCTTTTCACATTTTTCTCTGCCACTTGACGTCATCAAGCTGAATATAAGAAAGGGGCAAAGAAATATTTTCGTTTTATTTCGCGATATTTCGCCGTAAGACGACACAAGCTAAAAAAAAAAAGGAAGCATATTCCCAGAAATAGATATAGAATGTAGTCAAGTAGCTTAAAGTAGCTCGGGGAGCGCTGGCTGGCTGATGCTGGCGTCAACAGATAACAGGTAACAGGTAGCAGCTAGCAAGTAATAGGTAAGACAAAACCGAAACATTGTCGCCAGGTTACTTGCAACAAATCACGTGGCTGCCACATACATATACATAGGTGTGTGTGTGTGTGGAGGCGTCCATTTAGCATCTTGGCATGTCTTTTGCTCGAGAGTCGTGTGCCAAAAATAATTTATTTACTTTTCTATTTTATATATACATATATACGTTATGTCTCTCTCTCTCTCCCACTCTCTTTCTCTCTCTCACTCTCAGTCTTGTAATTTTGTTAATATTCATATATTTGGTCGCGTCTGTTTGGCTTTTACTAATACATTTATATATATATATTTATGCGCATATGTGTGTGTGTGTGTGTGTATATTATCTTAGCTGCTGTCTTGTGCACAACAGATGCTGCCTTTGTGTGTCTTTGTTGAGAGATTGAACAATGATAATAGAGAGACAGTTGTCGGGGCAGTTAAGCAAGTTGAATGTCTTACAGGGCATAGTAAAACTAAGCAGGGCATTGTTGAAGCGCTGGCTTTAAAGCATGCTATGCTTAACGGGGCTTAGCAGCCAACGCTTTTGCTTTAGTCTTTATCTAATTTTGATTACATCAATGGAGCTTAAGCATCAATAAAGTTAAGGAAGCTATTCAGCTGTATAGCTATAGATATATATATTCATTCCAGCATTTGCAAAGCATCATCCAGAAATATTCATATTTTATAGCAAAAATCTGTATAATTGAATGAGATGTGCAGCTTTTTGTATACTTATTTTTTCTTGGCTAATTAGGTCATATAGATTGTAAAATTAATGAATCACTAGATGAAAAGATCTGTCAAGCATATGTGCCTTGTTCTCAATACTTATATAATTCCATATTGCACATGAGATTTATTTCTAGTTCGCGTCCTTGCCGGAAATCGCGAAAGTTCAGCGAGGCAATTTGTGTGAGGGGCATAATTTAGTTTTATATGAACAATTAAACACGCCAAATTAATTTACATGCTGTGGGGAATGGGAAATGTGTAAGGCCAGCTCAAGTGAAACAGTTCGCAGTTATTAACATGTGCTCAGGTGCGAAGCAGCCAACAGTCGAAATCGCAAATATAGTTTATACGATCCCCAAATTGGGATTAACGATTGCCCACGACTTGCCAGCGCCAATCGCTGTTTCGTGAAACATGCGCAGTTTCTACAACGAAAGCCTGAGCAGAGCAAATGATTTGCAAAATTTTCTGCCTAACGAAAATGCTTGAAATATTTTGCACACAAATCAAATATCGCAGCGAAATCAAAATGCAAAATAAACAAAACAATGAATAGAGCAGGATCCTCGGAGAGAGTAGAGGAGAGAGCGGTAGCTGCTTGTGGGCTATGCTGGGATAATTATATCATTATTTATTGTATACGTATCATAATCAAAACAAATATTGAAATCAAGCTGTTGTAATTAAGTGGAAATTAAGCGTTAGCCAGGCCAAGGAGCAGCAGGTGTGCTGTGCCAGCCAATGAATGAATGTCTGAATGTGTAATTATGTGTGTGTGTGTGTGTGCGAGTGTGTGCAGTGACCTTGACAAATGGTTGGGCTTGCTCGGTCAATTTACACGCTCCATTTGGCCGAACATGCAGTGCCTTCTGTCAGCTGCCCACTAATTCTGTACCCATTTCCGATTATTTATAGAGCACTTGGGCATAACGCCCGATTTGAACCACACGCAGTCACAGCAGCCACAGCGACCGAGCCACTTGGAGCTGCTGCCAACGCAGTCGAGTCTACGCAAATCGACCAGCCTGCTGGTAAGTGAAATGAAATGCCTTATGCCCTATACCATAGCCGTAGCCATAGCTATGGCCATATCCATATCGAAATCCCAAATCCAGCATACTTATTAAATACTTATCAGCAAATTAAATGAAAGAATGGCCCCGTTGCCAATTTAAATGCCATAAATGCGCAAAAAATAGAATCCATTAGAATATTTCGTTTAGGTCATTCCTATAAATTGGTAATCGCATTCGCATTCGGCCAGGAATCCCGTTGTTTACTTAGCCGAGACAAAAGTGTAAACAAGAAAGTAACATTAAAATCGCTTATTTCACGCTTATGAAAGCCCCGTGACTATGTAAAAATATTTTATATAAATAAATAAAATCCCAAAGTCGAACAAGATTCGAGCAAATATTTGAAGAAGCTGTAAAAATTGGATTTTTTATGATTATTAGCTTTAAAAGATATACAAAAATATTTTGATGTAGGCACACAACAAAAAATGTTGCAAAAACAAAATATTTTCGAAATTCCAATTTATTTCGATTGAGATATGAAATATCTAATTTCGAATTAATATTTATATTTTGTTCGACAAGCAGTGCGATGTGGACGATAAATCAGCTGTTTCTCCCTCATCGCCGCGCACTGAGATATCCCAGCTGAAGGATCAACTGGAGGCGCAGGCGCAGCAGACCCGTCAGGCACTTGGACAATTGATGCTGGTGCGCGAACAGCTCATCTCGGAGACTAATGCGCGCATCGAGGCGCAGGTGAGTAACAGAATAACCAAAATATCGCAATATAAAAAATTTACTAACACTCTCTCTATCTTATTTCTCTCTCTCTATCTACCTCTCCCTCTCTCTCTCTCTCTATCTCGCTCTCTTTCAGGCGCGCACGCAGCAGCTGCTGCAACAGAATCGGGAGCTGCTCGAGCATTTGGCATCGCTGGGCGCCTACAACGAGCAGCAGACGGCGGGTCTGACCTCTGCGAACATTGGCATGGCCCCACAGGTGAGTCCATATTTGAGTGTACCCCATAGCTGTATCCATATTTATATGCATAAGTATTGTGATCCCTGAACGTGCCGAGTTAACTTGAGAGTTTATGTTCATTTGCCCCAGTTGCCGTAAACAAACTGCGCCTTAATTTATGCCTTCATAATTTGGTTGCCTTCATTATTCGAAAATTAACAACATTTATGAAAGATAAATAAATAAGAATTCTAGGTGCTCGGCGAGCCCTATGCATGTTTATTTTACTTTGCTGCCCGATCCGCTCGTTCTCCCAATTTGCGTTTTCTTTTGCACGTTTATTGATTGTTTGTTGTTCGTTTGCTGTTCATTTGTTGTTCTTGTTGTTCATTGATTAAGTTAAGCTGCAGAGTTAATGACTTGAGATACCCTTTCCAACAGCAGCAGTCACAGCTGCAGCTGCTGCTCCAGGCGACCAGCAACAACAACAACTTGGCCACCATCAATCAGCAGATCAACAATCTGGGCAACATCAATCAGCAGTTGACCTCGCTCAGTCACCAGCTCAGCGGCCTCAATCAGCAGAGCCAAAATCTACAGAATCTGCAGAGTCTGCAGCAGACATCGTCCACGACCACGGCGCAGCAGCAGGCGCAGCAGTCACAACTGACGCCTCCGACGCCGCCGCTGACGTCTGGCGGCGCCAGTGGTAGCAGTTCATATCCTTCGATGAGCCAGCTGCAGACCATCAGCAATCAGCTGCAGCAGCAGCAACAGCAGCAGCAGCAGGATGCACTGTCCAAGGATCTGTTTCAGGTCAACCAGGAGCTGCTGAATCGCCTGCAGACAATGAATCTTAATGCGAATGCCGCGCAGCAGACGCAGACACAGACGCCATCGGCCTCGCCGCACAATTCCTACTTCTTCGTGAATCCGCTGTCCTGCACGCCAGCCACGCCCAACAACAATGCAGCGGGCGGATTCAATTTTCTGGCCTCGGCGAGCGGAATGAGCGCCGGCACGTTGACACCGTCCCCGTTAGGCACGCTGACACGCAACTCATTTGCGGGCAGCTCCATGCTGAACGACGACCTGCGGCTGAGCATAGAGCAGAATCTGAACAACTTGGAGGAGCAGCTGAAGGTGGCGGTGTCGAATGGCAACTTGGCTGGCTTGGCCTGCGGCGGCTCCTCAAGCACCAGAGATACGAGTCGCAGCTCCTCCACATTGGATTCGCCGTCGTCGCCGCGTCAACGCAGCTGTAATAATAATATCAGCCCGAGCAGTAGCAACGGCAATAACAACAACAACAACAACAATGGGAATGGCAATGGCAATGGAGGCAATAATAACAATTCAAGAGAAACCCGCTTCAATACGGTGCTGCTGCGTGTAACGGATGAGGCGGGTCATCAGCGTAAGCTATCGGCCACGCCCAGCTTTATAACGCGCAGCACCAGCGAAAAGGTGCCCAATCGCAGCCAAATGATGAGCCAAGTGCAGCGCACCGCCTGGGCCAGGCACACCACCAAGTGAGCGAGACGCCAGCAAACACTGAGAGTGGACCAGCTCTTAACTACAGATAGTCAAATTAAGTTAAGGTTGCATGAGAGTATGTGAATGAGTATGAGTATGAGTATGAGTATGAGTATGAGTATGAACATGAGTTTGGGTATGAGTATGTGAGCGTTTGAGTAACAGTATTAAATAATAGAGCTCAACTTATTAGTTCGCATTTTAAGTTGTTCGAAATTCTAGTCCTGCAAGATCTTTTTCAAAGCATATTCTGAACAGAAGAAGATACTACAACTGCAGCATATCATAAAATAAATAAATGAATATATAAAATATATATAAATATACACACAAATATATAAATTAACTATGAAAGTATTTGCTCTCCCCTTTAAAGTGTCAAAGTAAATAGTTGCTAAGCTCTGAAAATTATTTTAGCTGAAATCTATTTAGAGAACTGTTGTTATGTCAATGTTATGTTTATGCAAAACTCTTCCACAAATGTTTGCTCAACAAATCTGAAAAAGCTCAATAATTATAAACATTATGTGAACAAATTTCGTAAACAAACACAAAGTTAATTTGATTGCAGCAAATGTTCAATGTATAATATAAAATTTAATTTATCAACTAAACTTTAAGCTACAAACAAATCAATACAGGCAAACAACAAGCAACAACAATAAAATATAAAAAGCATATAAAACAATTAATTTCTCTATGGTAAAAAATTCAATGTATTTTCAATATATTAATTATCATTATGTTCATTAATAATTGTCACTTTTCGCAGCGTTGGACAATTTCACTAATGAGTTTTACATCGGCAGCGAGCGAAAAAAACATTGCATACTTTCGAGTGCCGTGAATAAAAAACGTGCTGCATACTTTTTAGCGCATTTGTATTACGCATACACCACGTTGGATAATGAACGGCCGAGCAGGCAGTGCATAAATTTGGTGTGATAAATGAAAAACGAAGGCAAGCAGAGAGTGCAGCAATGAGAAAAGGCACAGAAAAAAAAAAAACAAGTGTCGCCGTTTTTCACTTTTCTTTCTTAGGCTAACCCTCCCCAACTCCCGCTTCCCTTTCCTTCCGTCTTTGGTGTTGGTGGACAGCAATTTGCGCACATAACTCATTTGCATAAATTTTCACACTGACTTTTTGTTTATGCCCGACTCATTTCCACAGCTCTCGTCGACGGCCAAAGTGGCCCGCTGGTTTCAACAGCTGCCCTGGCACACCGCCTCGCTGTCCCGCCCCGAGAGCGGCTTCGTCTCGGGCGATTCGCGCTCTGAGAAGTATCAGGAGGATCATTTCTATGGCGGCATGGTGAAGGAAACGGATGATTTATGCGATGAATTTCTGCTCGTCGAGGGCAGCAGCACCATTTGGACTAAGTTGAGCGCCAAAAAACGTCGTAAATTGCTTGGCATGCGTTTGGGCAAAGTGACAACATTTTAGCTCCAGCTCCCGGCCAGCCGTAATGTGTGCGTTTATTAGCTGTTAAGTGCGTTTTTCTTAAGCATAGCCCTAGGCAACGGAGCTTTTATCAAGCCAAGTAGCTAGTTACTTATACATACATATATACATAAATACATTGATATATTAACTTAGGCTAGCGAGTATAAAAATCAATAGACTAAATGACCAAATTAACCCAAAACGAACGACATGCTCATTGAAATGCCATGAACATACACAAACACAAACGTGCACACACACGCTCGAAATGATAAGATCAAAGCAAGATACAAGTAGTGAATAGCCGTAGACGTAAGTCAATTAGCGAGCATAAGGCTTAAGCTCAATGTGTATTTAAGTATTAATAAACTAAGTAAAAGTATTTGGCATGTAAGACACACAAACACACACACCCACACACAAATAGAAGGCAGGTAAACTGGCAGACGTTCAATTCAGGAAGACAAGCTATTCATTTTGCGGACAAAGCGAACGCATTTATCAAACGCCTGCTTGGCTCCAACGAAACAAAAATGAAACGAAACGAAACATCATAAAAGCACCGCAATTGCTGCTTAACTTGGCCAACTTTTCATGTTTGAGAAAAACTGGTTATTAAGCTAAGCAAACACAACGTGCAAAAAGAGCAAGCGGAAAATGGAGAGAGCTGCAGCAGCTGCCTGCCGGATTTGCCTGTTGGAAACTGAATGGTTAAGTAAATAAGCCAAGTTAACAACAAGGACAGCACAGCAAAACACAACATACATGAACACCCACACACACATACGCACACACACTTTGGCTCACAGGAGTAGCACCAGGAGCCGCAGCAGCCACAGCAGCTCCAATGTTTGCTATTCATACATTTTTCAGCTTGAAGCATTTTTATGCATAAATCGATTTTACTTTTATGCGGCCCTCGTTTTGTGTGCGAGCGATTTTTGGGCGGCACTCTATAAATTTACGCCGTCGGGCTATGCGGCGTATACGTGATTACCGCAGCTGGAGTGGATTTAAACGGACAGCCAGAGCAAGCCGGCGTAGTTACATGGATCAGAACAGCTTAAAGATTGAGTGCAAAGTAATACGCTCTGAATTGCATTCAACACTTTGACATCATTGAAAGTTTAATGAAATAAGTTAGCATTTAACATATACAATTTTAATAAGGCGCATTCAGCAGAGAATTCGTGTTAACATTTTCAAGAATTCCCTGCTAAATGCGCCTTAAGGCTACAGTAAGAGACGATTTCCCTAACGATTTTAAGCTATCTATTATTATACAAATTTGGAAATTTTTTAACGAGATTTTAAATGTTTTAGTTAATTTATGCAACAATTTTTGAGACTGAAACTTAAATTTGTACTAAGCATAAATAGAAAACGCACACAAGCACACACACATACATTCGCATTTGTTTTTATGTACAAGTGAATCATTCCAAGCGCATTTTGCAAAACTATCTAATAATAGATTAATTCCATTTTATGTTTTTAAGTTCTGCCACAGAATAAAGTGAGTAATAAAAATTAAACGTACATGCGGTTTTTAATTTGTTGTTACTGTTGCTGTTGCACACTTTGCTGTTCAATTAATTTAACGTGCTGGGCATGTAATGGAGCCAAGCGCTGCATATCAGCTGGACGCTGAGGGGCGGGCAACAGGACATGGGACATGGCACAGCAAGTGGGCTTGGCTGGCAGCTGGCAGCTAACAAGCGCACTCATGCGCTTGGTCATTGGGCGGCCAGTGGGCGTGTGGGCGTGTGGGCGTGTGGGCGCGTGGGCGTGTGAGCGTTTATATCGTATATTGAAAATTAGAAAACCCACCCAAGGCGACTTATGTGTGCGGTCATAATTACGAACGACGACATTTGTGGGCGTTCGGGGGCGGTGCGGGGCAGCGCTCTGACTAAAAGCAAAAGAAGCGCACTAATGGAGCGCATGAAAATGAAAAATGAAAAGCGCGACATGCGATATTTTCACTTTTTACTTTTGTAATATTTTTTTTTTTTTTTTTTTTTGTTTGTTGGTTTTTGACACTTTTTGGGGCACAGGCAGCGGACATAATTATACAGAGCTAAAAGCCATGTAAATGTGTAGGCAGCGCGACGACCCTGAAAACAGGAAGTATACACACACACACACATACACAAATTTATAGACACGCATATAGTGAGCGCACAACATGAAGAACATGTGAGCTATGTGACAGCAACAAGAAACAGTTGAAAGTGCCGCGTGTCCTGTTGTGTCCTGTGCTTCTGCCAACGTCATTCACATTCACATTCACATTCGCACACTCACTCGCCAACATTCACATTTATTGCGTGGCTTCAACGCCAACGTCGACGCGTTTAATTCACATTTTATTTTCGCTGCTGCTGTGGCCGTCGACTGGGCGCGTAATTGTTGCTTCCCTCGACCAGGACTGGGATATAGTACGTTCGCGTTGGCGCTGCACAGCGGACGTGTGCGCGGCACTCAGTGAATTCGAGCAGAGCAACCAAGCCGACCATGCAAAACCAGTCGACGGACAACGCGGAGCCATCGATGGCCAACGCAGCGCTGGATTCGGCCGAATCCATGCGCAGCACACCAGCCGCTCAGCCACGTCGTCCCAAGCCTGGCATACTCCGTTTGGACATCAGCAAACCACGGCGTTCATCAGGTGGTTCTGTGGACTTTCGTTGCGTGAGTGGTGCTGGTGGTGGCGCTAGTGGCGGTGGGGGTGGGGGCAGCAGCGCCAATGTTACGAGCGCCAACAGTGAGGTAAGTGAACATGATTTACTGTACACCAGGGAGTGCTTACGATTTGGCCAGAGCACGTGCAGCCCCACAAACCACACAAGAGCTGCCAACAGCAACAACAATGGGTCAAGCGGAGATATTTATATACGCTTAACAAAAAAGTCACAAAAAGTCGGTTAACTTGGCTAAAACTATTGAGGCTTGACCTTGCTAACAGCCCTTATAAAAGTTCCCAGCTAAAGCAATTGATGCTAGTCACACTTTATGATACCCTTTGTCAGCCACTTTAGGAAAATAGGGTATATAAAGTCAACAGCTTAATTACCAGGGCGTAGAACGGCGTAGGGCAAACAAGCTGACAGGCTTGCCCACGCATTGCCACGCTCACTCATTATGGCCTAATTGCTAAAGTGAAATCTCAGTAAGCCGGACGTCAGCTGGCTGGCCCATTAGTTGTCAAAGAGGCTTTCGGAAAAACATGTTGTCTACTTTACTTTAAGCTAAAAAAAAAAAGTACAAAAACGCACAACAATATTTTCAACTGAGCAAATACTAAAAACCAATAGAAATTCTCAGCGCAATGGCGGGGGAAGCGGGAGATGTGACATCCATTAACTTTCTGACCGGCAGCAGCTTTGAGGGATCGTGGAACTCCTCGGTGCGTATGATGGATGGCTTTGGCAGCTATCGTTATCCGGATGGCAGCGAGTATCGGGGCAGGTTTTCGCACGGCAAATTCCATGGCTTCGGCCACCTGAAGCTGGCCTCGCCCCATCGCTTCACAATCAAGGGCGAGTTCAAGAACGGCAAACTGGTGAGCGTTGAGGACATGTGGTTCAGCGATGGTTTGCATGTGAAGGGCACCTTCGAGAACGACCAGTTCATGAGCGACGAATGGGACTATCTGACGCCGAGCGATCGTCGCTATCAGGCGGAGCGGTACTATGGCCAGCAGCCGGTGGGTCCCACGGCGTATCTGACCAAGAGTTTGCCGCCACGACGAGTGCCGCCAAAGTGTTTTGACGCCGAGGAGGGGCTCTACAATTCGGCCTCGGGCTGGCTGTTCGAAAGGGAGCCGCCATTTACAAAGGCCGTTTATGTTGGCTGCTCGCAGGAGAGGGATTGGATAATGCGGCATTGCCGTACCCAACATTTTGCGGACATTATAGAGCCGCTGCCCAGCTTTTGCAGGGATATCGTCAAGAATAATCTGGAAACTGAGTCGGGCCAACTGAAGGAGATCGCCATCTACGCACCCAACCAGGAGATCGATCGCAGTCGCTACTTCCCCAAAGTCTGCCACGAGAAGTTGCCGGTGGACACAGAGCAGCCGCGATATGAGCGCCCGCCATTCCATATGATGAATGCCACCGAACTCTGCCTGGACGATCACATCGCCAAGGAGCAGGTCAAAGCTGGGGAGCACAAAACATCGTGGATAAAAAGTCGCATGCGCGGCAAAATGCCACCAATGCCAAGGGATCGCGTGTGGACGAGCAGCTCAGATCCGCGAGGTGGCGACTCTGGCGTCTCCTGCACCATCTCCAAGAGCATGTCGGAGAAGAACCTGAAAACGAATGTGAGAGCCTTTTACGATTCGGCGATGGCACTGGCGGGCAAGCAGCATACCGATAACTTGTATGTGGTCCAATCGAACATGAAGCGTCCGGCCAGCTTTATGGACATGAATCGATCAGTGTTTGATTTTTAATCTCAAGTATGATTCAATTAAGTTTCCGAAGTAAATTCAAGTAAAAATATAAACAATCGGGAATTATAATATAAAATATTTATATATACAAAATAAATGTTCGTCGTGAAGGGATAAGTGTAAATTGGTTTCTATTTATTATTGAAACTCTTTTATAAAAAGGAAGAAAGGCTAGGCTTGTAATTCTGTTGCATTTTACAAAGAAATATATATGTTCTGTAAGGGTTATCATATTTGGTACTTCATATATGATAAGCTTTCCCACTGTAGTCGAAAATACCTATGTATGACAGCTTTAGAAACGTGTGTAAATCAAATATTACATGAAACCCCCCGGCTTTAACTTGGGAAGAAAATCTACCAATCCAATTGAAATCTCGCCCTGATAACAAGTTAAATGTAAAATAGAAATACAAAAAAAAGTTGGCTTTCGGTTTTGAACATTTTGACACTTCAAGTTGTGAAAATAATAATAAATAATAACACGAATATAAACAAATAAAAGTATTGTACATTGCACAAATGGATAAACTAGCCGCTAGATCAACGGACACGTCGGGCGTCCTAACGGGCGCCAAGTTCTTTGGCAACTGCGACGAGCTCGGCATGCAGAACTATGGTCTTTATGTCTACCCGGATGGCACCAAGTACTTGGGACAGTTCCACAACAATCGCTTTCATGGCAACGGAACTATCCAGCTGCCGCATCCCTACTGTCTGTACTTCTCAGTGCTGCATCAGCATGGCAAGCTGCTGCACATATTCCGAATTAGCTTCAGCGATATGCTGCAGGTGCAGTTCAAGATAACGGATCAGGGCCTCAGCTTCAAGGACTGGAACTATTGCACTGCAGAGGATCGTCGCTTCAATGCGGAGCGCTTAGTCGACATGGGGGAGATGGGATCGGTGACTGAGCAGGAGTCGCAGAAGCGGCTGTGTCGCAACATATTCGATCTGGGCTTTGGCGAGCTGACCGACAAAGGCATGCTGAAGAATATTCCGCCGCATATATCGGAATCGCACAGCGTGTACGTGGGCTGTCGCAAGATGCGCCGCTGGATACGCGAAAATTGCCGCCATGGACCGCTGAAGGGCAAGCATCTTAAGCAGGAGGTGCTGGCCAAGTTTGCACGCCAGATCATACGTAACAATTTGGAGAGCGCCCAGGAGCTAACCTCCCATCCGGTCCGATCGATGGTGCAGAATACAGCGCACAAGTACAGGGTATGTCGACGCTCGAGGAGTGCGGAGAGCTCTAGCTCGGCCAAGGAGGTGCGCTTGCATGTGGCCCTCACCAGCATGAGCTGCAGCTCCCTCATGGATCATACGGTGAAGCATGGGCCCCAATACAAGCGGGTGTCCACAAGAAACTATCCCATTCGACGCTCGAAAACGGAGGAGAACGTTTGCCGCTTAAACTAATCACTAATCACTAATCATAGTTGGAACTTGTATCTTGATATTTATTCATATGTTGTACACGGCTAACCCAAATTTCATAGTATCCAAGCTTAACATCTTTTCAGGTCAAAGCCATACGCCAAATATATTGCATTGCCTCGGGCGTAAACCATGTTTGGGCGTTTGATTTATGGCGGGCACCTCAAAACTGCAATCGAACATGGGAAACCACTTAAAACATACACACAACTATGACTATGTGAGTGTGTGTGTGTGTGTGTTAGTGTCTTGTGGGTGTGGCATTTGGGTCAACGGGTTTCACTCTCTCTGTCTCTCTCCCTTTCCCTCTCACTCTCTGGCCGAAGACATTTGCAAATGCCGTTGCACCTGTCACAGCGGCTAATGAACCCATAAAAACCCACCAAATTATGCTACACGTGCGACATGATTTCCAGTTATAGCGGGACGAAACATAAAAGGATTGGCTGTCAGTCAGCGGGGGAGGGGGGCGGCCATGTCCGCTCTGGCACGCACAGATAAATTTGGACGTTAATTAAAAAGCCATGGCAGGCGGAACTTCATTTAATTAAAAGGACAGTCGAAAAAGTCTAAGGATAGTGAAATCTGGTAAAAAGCGCTTTCGCTTTCGCTTTCGCTAAAAAACATGAAAGC